CCCCCTCCCCCCCGCCTCCAGGCCTGCCAAGGCCCCCCACCCCGGCTGACTGCAGCGCCCGGGACTGAGGACGGGGCACCGGCGGCGCCAGGACACAGCCCCGAAGCGCGCGGGGTGGGGGCGCACCGACATCGTGTGCAGGTGGGCAAGGGGAGCGGGGCTCTGCCGCCCCTTGCCAGCCCGTCGCGGTCCCGCCAAAGCCGCCGACGGAATAAGTGGGGCGGCAGCGCCCCCTGGCGGCTCGGGCGAGCCGGCGCCCCTCCCTCGCGGGTGCAGCCCCGCGTGCGGGCGGCCACCTCAGCTGCTCGGCGCTCAGGTGCTCGAGGGCCAGCGCCCTCCTCCTCTCGGCCAAGGTCTGCTTCTTCTTCTCGCGCTCCGTCTGCCTCTTCCCATTTTTACGCTCCGTCTGGAGGGGGCGAGAAGCGGGGGAGCTGGTTGTGAGCACCCCCCACCCCACACCCCCAAAGCCAGCGGGGACAGAGGCTCGGCCTTGCAACCCCCAGGCCAGCCACCGCCTGGGCTCCCCACACTACGAGGAGGAGGAGGGTTTGAGGACTGGCACCCACCTGGGCCTGCAGAGCCGGGACAGCAAGAGGAAGACCCAGAGAGAAAGATGCGACAGGGACAGGGACAGGGAGAGGGGAGGCCACAGGGACACAGGCAGAGACACGGGAAGGGGAGGGTTCAGCCGCGCCGCAGGCCAGCGTAGTTACTACTGGACGTGCGTCCGGGGTGGGGTGGGGATGTTTGACAGCAGGGCCCCGCTCGTAGGGTCACCGTGGGGCGCAGGGGCCGGGAGGCTGGCCCAGTTCTGAGCCGGGGACTCGGACATCTAAGAAAATGTTCTGATGTGTCCGCTGCACAGAGAAGTTCAACTTCCCATCTCTCCGCCCCTGGGAACGGGGTATCTGGTCGGGGTGAGCTCCCAGGAGCAGACCAGCCTGCGTCCAGGCAGCACTTGGCCACACTCCAGGGTAGCTCGTCTGACCCTCTCAAAGCGGGCAGGGTGGACATTAACCCCATTTTACAGATGAGCAGACTGAGGCTCCAGGATTGCATGAGGCCGCACACGGTGGATGTGGGACGGGGCACAGGGCCTGCTGGCTCCACCAGCCGGCGTGGGGCTAGGGCTGGGAGGGGCAGTGGCGTCCTGGGCTCTGCCCACGGCACTCATCCCGGCAGCCCCTCCCAGGGAAAGCCAGCTGCTGCGAGAGCCAGCTTCGGGTCTGGCGTGAGAACTCAGTCTCGCAGCAGCGGCTGGACGCGTCCTCCCGGGATCGCACGCACAGTCACTCCTCACGACACACGGGTGCCTGGAGGCCCCCACCTTCTGGATGTAGCCGCCAAAATGCATCATGTCCGACAGAGCCTTCTGCCTCCGGGCCTCCTCCGCCGCCTTCCTCCGGCTCTGCTCCTCCTCTCGGCGCGCCCTCTCCTCCTGCTTTCCCGCAAGGAGGCGGTGCATTAGGGGTGGGGGCCGGACACCCTGATTCTGCGCTGGCGCTGGCGGTCCTTGCGGCCAAGCACACTGTCCAGGGGGTTGAGGGCACTCGGACATGGGGCCTGGTGCTCGAGTTTGTTGGCCGGGGACACGGGGCTGAGCGAGCGGGGCCCCAACTCCTGGCAGTGAGGCACCCCCCCCCCCCCGAACCCAGGCCAGGGACAGGAAGCCCCAGGGCTGGGCGGCATCACTGGGGCGGGGCCCCGGCAGCAGCACAGGACGGGGGCCGCGGCACCTCAGCTCCCGGGGGCGCGCTGTGCGGGGGATGCGGGGGTGCGGGGGCGCCTTTCTGTCTAGTCGCGCACGCGATGCCAAGCGCAGCGCAGGTGCTCGCCCCGGGCCGAGTCCCTGTCTGCGCGCGCGGAGGGCCCTGGCGGGGTCGCTCACGGCCAGGCGGCTCTGCCGCTCTCTGTCTCGCTGCGCCCGGATGCGCTGCTGCTCCGCCCGTTCCGCCCGCCGTTCCTCCTGCGGAGGAAGCGCCCGCTGTGGGACTGACCTCAACGCCTGGAAAGTGTCGGTGGGCTCCTCCGTGTCCCCTGAGTGCCCCCCCCCCCCGGCCGCCGCCCCGGGCTGGGGGAGGGG